CTCTCTCTCTCTCTCTCTCTCTCTCTCTCTCTCTCTCTCTCTCTCTCTCTCTCTCTTTTTGGTACCAGGGATCACTTGCAAGGCAGATGGCAGAACCACTGAGCTAAGTCCCCGGCCTTCTTCCCTCCTCTTTCTGTCTGTGCCTCTTCTTCCTGCCCCGTCAGTGTCCCCAGGGATCTCCGCATCTCACTGCCTTTCCCGCTGACTGCAGTCTTTCTCCTTGTCCTCCTCTCTTTTTGTCTGTGTCTGGGGGCTCCATCTCTTCTGTTGTACTTGGGGACCTGTCTACTCTCCAGCCCACCAGGGCGACCCTTTGGCTGGGATCTCTCTGTTCTCTGCCTCCTTCTTTGTCTCCCCTCTCTGTCCCCAGTGTTTCCAGTCTCTGTCACAGCCTCTGGCTTGTCATTGTCCCTGGGTGGTCTGGCCTCCGCCTGTCTCCTGGCACCGCACCTCTGGGGCTGGTTGGGGTGGGAGCCAGGTCTGGGGGCTGTGACCAGGCCCGGAAGGACAACCCAAACAGACATGATATTTATGTTAGGACTTCAAAGTGCAGCACAGGCCGCGGTGGGGTGGAGGGGGCTGGTGAGCAAAAACCAGACTGAGCCAGTTTAGACTCCTCCCTGGTGAGGGTCTCCTTGGTGACACACATCTCCCTGTGGGACACGTAGACCAAGAGTAGACAAGGAATGGACTATTTTGGTGCAGTGTTCCAAGAAAGGCACTTCCTGTGCCCTTGCCCTGGCCCCAGTCCCATCCTTTCTTCCGGTCACACTGGCCTCCTAGCCCCCACCTCCTCTGAGCATCAGCCTGGCTGGAGAGACAGGGGATTCTGGGGGTGGCAGGAGCAGAGGGCTCGATCTCAGCGGGAAAACATCCCTGGCGCTGGGACAAGCGTGCATTCTGTCTGGCAGAGGCCTTGCCTGACAGGGCTGTGTGGGTCTGTAACCCTGTCAGCCCCAACTGACCAGGCCAGGCAGGCCCAGCCCCTTGGGTCCTCTGGAGTCCACTTTTGGGCTGCCTGCCAGAGGGTTGGAAGGGCCATCATGAAGTTCACCCCACCCCTGCTCCCCTCCCTTGGCCTAACCCCTACTAAAGACACCCAGCTGCTGGGTGGGGCAGGGTGGGTAGGCAAGGCTGATTGTCTCATCCTGTGGCTCAGCGTTGGGGCCTAAGCCCCTCCCAGAAGCATTGCCCAGCAGGCACCCCTTCAGGCTGGGTCACCCTTGGGGAAGCACCCCCCCCAATTCCCTACCTGGGTCTAGAGCCTTGCTCTGGACTTAGGACCCTCAGGACCCAAGTCCACTCAGGTCCCCAGAGCACCAGCCTCTGGGCCAATGACCCTTCCCAGCCTCTCCCCAACTTTTCCTGTGAATCACGCATGCTGGAATCTGATGAGCTCAGGCCCTCCCCGCCCAGTGCTGCCTGCTTCTGCCTGGCCAGTGGGGTCACCACACCCCTCACAGGGGTCTTCCCAGCAACTCACAGTCCTCCATGGCCTCCATGGGGTTGAGGTGAGGAGTGAGCCAGGGTAGGCCAGGGCTTGGAGGGAAATTAGGAGAGAAGCTTGGATCTCTGGTGCATGCTCAAAAGCATGAAAAACACAAGTGTGTTTCTGTGTCTGTTGTGTGTGCCTCTGCACGTGTGTATATCTGTACAGGTGTTTGCCTTCTGGGGTTGGCACATGTGGGAAGGGGAGCGGAGTACTATGTTACCAGTGTGTGTGTTACTGTGTCTGACTGGGGATGTGGGTGTCCTTGGAGCTCTGCATGGGTAGCTCTAAGTGTGTCAGGAGGTCCCTTGTAGCAGATCTCGTCTCTGGGTTGACAGTCCCCATGTGTCCTATCAGTGCCATGGTGTGCCTATTACCCTTGGGGGTGACTGGGCTACTGTACTTGCTGTGGCTGGGTGTCACATACTTGGGTTGGAATGTGGGTCAGGGTGTCACTGTGTGTTAGACTGTGAATGTGAACATGGGTCACAGGGCCATGGCAGCGCGTTAGATGTCATACTGAGGGTGGGTCAGGGCGGGCCTCAATGCCTGTTGTCCATCCACCCATAGCCCTGGTTCCTGGGCTGACCTGGCCACAGAGCCTGGGACAGGTAGCTCCTCTGTCACCCTCTCCCCCTTTTTTTCTTGGTACCAGGGAATGAACTCTGGAATTGTGCTTGCCAGGCAGGTGCTATGCTGCTGAGCTAAATCTTGGCCCACCCCTTTCCCTTTTGCAGAATCCCTGCTTCCCTTTTAGCACCAGGCTAGGCATTGGTTACCTGGGTCCTCCGGGTGGCCTCAGCAGAAGGCACCAGACATGGGCTGGAGATGAGGTGTGCACGCCCCCTGGTGGCAGTGATGGCGAATGTGCCATCAGAACACAGGAACCCTTTCCTTAGTTTGTGGAACCTACCACTCTGTATCATCCCACATACATTTACTAAGTGCGCCGGCCCAGGCACTATCCTAGGCCCTTGAGATTTAGCTGGGAATGAGGCCAACTTGGCTGTGGCAGAACAGTGAGAGAGACAAACAAACTCACATGGACAACAAGGGTGACTTTAGAAGTGCTAAGTGCAACATTTCTAAGCAAGGAAATGACTTGGCTGCTCTCAGCGGACCCACATCAGGTCAGGGCCCCAGTCCGGCACTGTGACGGTGGATATGGAGAAGGCATGTCTCCTCTCAGAGATGTGGCTTCCTCTTCCAAAAGGAAAAACCATTTACAGGAATGCAGAACCTCTAGGTCACAGTGGGGTCTCGGTTACCTCCAGATCAGTGTGAAGGTGGTGAGATTCAACTTGCTTCATTGTCACTGGGGCTGTGGGTGCTTGGTCCATACCAGACACTCATTAGATTACAGTTCAGTGGACAAGTTAGTGAGTCTTTGTACTTGGGGGGAATTACAGATCCTGGTGTTTGACTCTTTTGCCTTTAACAAGTCACATTCCTGAGGAAGCCTGTTTCATCTGTAAAATGATGACACCAGTCAATTGTTTATCACGTCCTGAGCTCCTACCCCTGAAACCACTGGTCATGCACCTTTGAGCAGTCACAAGCACCAAAGCCCCTGGCAGTGGGCAGGAGGACCCAGCAGTGTTCCCATGAGCCACTGCTGAGGGGCATGTAAAATTCCAGGAGCACATGCAGAGGCTGAGTGTGGGAAGGGAGAGGATTGCAGAAGTCCCAGAAGTGGGGGCCCTGAAGCCTTGTTCCAGTTCCCACCTCTCTTAGTCTGAGCTCCACATCCGGTTCCTGGGGATCCCTGAGCACCCCCTGCAGAAATTCCAGGTCCTTCCTCTGGGACTGAGCTGGACATATCCTGTATTAGAATCCCAGAACTAGCCATCCCTTTTCCTCCCTAGGGTCCCTCACTCTTTATTACACTCTGGTCCGTGGACAGCTTTTATTGAGCGCCTACGGTGTGCTCACACTGAACACGGCACTAGGGATGGGGGCTGGAGGGAGGGCACACAACAGAATAAAGGAGAGGCTTCCTGCCAGCAAGGAGCTGGGTGGGGGCACAGAGTTGTGGGGAGTAGGGGAAAGCACTTCAGTGGCCAAGTGAGACGTTTGGGAGCCCCGTATCTGGGCTATGAGTTGTGTGAAAGCCCATCTCCACCTTTTCTGCATACTTGTCTGGTCATATGTGGGTTAGTGTCCCTTTGTCCTCAGCACATGAAAGGAGTGTCAGTCACTCAGGCTGGTGGGGGTCTTCCTCCATCCCAGGACAGTTCTTTCTGGAGGAATGGTCTCTGAGAAGCTGATTTGACCAAGACCTCTAATTCTACGGGGCTGGGGCCAGTAATCCTGGTCCTACCCTGTCCCCAGGCTGCCTGAAGGCTGTAGGTGAGCAAGGACAGTGACCCATGCAAGATGCCTATGCTCTGTGGCCCTTGATCATGGCACTCCAGGCAACTTCCTGGGTCACATATGGCCCCCTTGTGGTCAGTGATTGGTATTTTTATTTGTTCAGATTTGCTCCTGGGTTTCCTTTGGGGGGCTGTCCAGGCCTTGAGGGTTGCTTTGCTGGGCTTGATGTCTGGGAGTTGCCTTCTTGTACCTCAATGGGGCCAACAAGCCACACCTTTTATCCCCACAAAGCTTTTATGAGCGCCAAAAGTTTAGAGAAAATGGTTTCAGGGCCTCAGTCTCCATTCCAGAAGGTCAGCTCCTGAGGGTGGGCGTTATCTCCACTAGCCAATTCCCCTGAGTACCCAGGCGGACTTCCAATCCTGGGAGAAGGCTGGAGCATGGGTGCTTTCTCCTTCAGAGCATGGCCTCCAGCAAATAACCTTCCCTAGCCTGAGGAAAAAACCGCAAGTAAGAGCCCACTGGGCAGGGAGTGGACTCATGGAAGAGAGCAGGTGAGACCTGGTAACATCCAGCTTCCTCCTTCCTTTTTCCCTTAGTCTGAGCTCTGTTTTGCAGCAAGATCATCCACTGCAGCACCTCTTGGAGGCGGGCAGGGCGATACTAGTATCCCCACTTCGGAGATGAGGACGCTGAGGTTGGGAGGAGTTGGTCCTTCCGGGTAGCTCTGCTGCCACTGTGCTGCCTCTCCGAGTCCTCCAGACAGCAGAAGTGACTGGAGCCTTTCAGGGCTTTGAGGTCCCAGTATCCCTGCCTGCACTCACGGTGGTAGATGTAAAGGGAGCCCAGACCCCCACCCACCGTGCCAGAGGTTGGGCATCAGTTGGACTTTTCCATTGGGCACACTCACCCCTGTAGGCTGGGGAAGAACAACAGGTCAAGGGCCTTGGATACAGAAGACTGTCAAACCCTCAACTTTACCCCAGTCCCTCAGATGTGGCGAGGCCCCAGCCCTCGGCATATATGCTCATGCTCACAGAGGTAAGTATCGGAGGTGGTGGCAGACACAGGAGAGGGCAGGGGTGGGGGTGGCCAAGGAGGCTGTGGCCTTGGTAAGTGGGGCTGGTGGCTCTGTCAGCCTTCTGTGCAGACCCACATGACCCTCTGGTCCCTTCCAGCTATTCCTCTGTGGACTGGTTTCCCTGAGTCTTTGGCTCCCCTGGCTGCACAAGGCTCCCCCCAACCTGACGCTCACCCCCCTCAGCAGCCTTATACTCTCCCCCACTGTTCTTGGGGCTGGCTTTGATCCCCGTTCTCCCCTCTCCCTGGCCTTCTTTCTTCTCTTCCCAGCTGCCTGTCTCTGGGCACCCACTACCCATCTCCTGTCTTGCATCCTCCTGAGTCTCAGACCGCTCTGCCCGGCGGTAGACGAGGTAGCAGGCTGTGGGAAGCCTGTGGGCCAGGGCTCCTGGGGGCAGGCGGTGGTAGCTCTGTTCTTTGTACAGGAAGAGGCCAAAAGCATCGGGCTGGGTCACTCGGAACTTGGTGGCACAGAGCTGCTTCAGGGTGGTGATGGAGGCCCCTGGGGGCACTGCCAGGGTCTTGGAAGTACAACCACTGCTGGGATCCTGGTAAGCTACTCTGAGGAGGTGCTGTATAGGAGAAGAAACAAATACAAGACTCAGTCCTGCCTGGTGTGCATCTGGGGCCAGAGAGACCAGTGAAGGCTGTGTAGGAGCAGAGTTGGTTGCTACGTCTCCAGAGGTAGAACCAATTAGCAAGAGCTCCATGGGCTCTGATGGGGGATCTGGGGCAGTGTGTTGTATGCTCGGGCTAGTGGGTTGTAGATGCAGGTCCAAGGGCAACCCAGGCAGAATTTCACAAGCCTAAAAGATTATCGCATAGAGATTACTGATTACTCATCCTTTACCAACTGGCTTAATCCCCACAGCCATCACAGGTGCTCATTTTACAGACGAGAAGAATGAGGCAAAGAAAAGAGCAACTTGCCCAAGTCCCCACAACCAAAAAGTGGTAGAGCTAGGATGAACTCAGGACCTGCTTGCAAGACCTGGGACTTGTAAGCAAGGTTGAGAAGAGTGAGGACAGGGTGGTGGCTGACTCTGAGGAGACAGCTAAAGCCTAAGGACGGGGAGGCAGAATCCTGGCAAAGGCTGGGGGCCAGGATTTGGGGCCTGAGCCTGCTACCTATGTCCCTTTCCCTGTCCATGTCAGTCCCAGTGCCCTACCTGCAAAATTATTTTGTTTGGTGTTTGTTTTAGTACCAGGGATCGAACTAAGGACCTTGCACTTGCAAGGCAGGTGGCGGAACCACTGAGCTAAATCCCTGGCCCCAAAATGGGGATAATACACAGCACTACTCAGTTTCTGTGAAGTCTTGGAAGGCTGCCCCGGCAGTGCCAGCCCAGTGCAGGGTGTATGAAGCACACTCCAGGGGAGGATGATGCTTCTACTATGGGTGACGGGCAGGTGGGGACTGTGCAAGAGGATGTCAAGGCCTCTTTGGGCCTGGCTGGTTGGGTGGATAGGGTGGCAGGACCCTGTTACCTGGAAGCTGTGGGTAGCAGGCAGGCACCGTTCCTCCCAGAGCCTCAGGGAACGCTGCAGCTCCTGTGCCGGGCTCAGGGGAAGGGTATGAGCCTGGCCTAGGCTGCTCAGCAGGGCCAGGCTGGCTGATAGGCTGGTCAGATAGTAGCCACCTGGGACACGGGGGGCCAGAATGAAGCTCAGACAGGGCTGGAGTACCCGCTCCCCCTCCCTGCTTACTCAGGCCCCATACAGCAGCTGAGGTTCCCCAGTCCCACCCAATCAGGGAGGTGGCACCCCTTACCCTCTCCAGTGAGCAAGGAGGGCTCCAGAAGCTCTGTCATGTACTCAGCTTCCAGTAGAAGGTCTGGAAGGTCGCACTGAGCCAAGACAAGGCTCAGCAGTGGCAGGAACTCATCAGCACCTGCACTCTCCCCTTAGGGACATGGGAGAAGGCTTCAGGCTCCTCTGGGGTCAGAATCTAATCCTTGACAGGGACAGTGACCCCCTCCTCTTTGCCTGCCACTCCTAGGCCCCAGGATCACCATGCAATCACAGGAATGGCTGAACAGAAGTTACTACTCTCTGGGCCTCAGTTTCACCATCTAAGAGGGTTGGATCATTCTCCCCAGCTCTAAGGTCCTGAGAGCAGCCCCCTTGGGAGAGGGTTGTCGCTAAGACAGAGGGGGTGGGCAGGGGGAGGTAGTGGGGGGGCCATACCTGCCTGAGTCCTCAGGGTTGTGTAGAGCAACTTGCAGGCCTGCAGGAGCCGCTTGACCTGGGCACTAGGTGAGTAGGTGCGGAGCAGCTGCAGTAGCTTCTGGCGTATCTGCTCCATCTCTGCCAGGGAAGGCAGGCTCAGGTGAGACCCGAAGGCTCGAGGGCCTTGGGCCCGGGCCAGGCGGAGGCCTTCAGCCAGGCGGCCAAGGGAGCCATCAGCACAAAGTCGGCGACGGAGGCGAGCTGCCAGAATGGGCCGGAGAGGCTTGAGCACGGAGCGATGCAATGACTTCTCCAGGACATGTTCTGCCAGAGGAGGGGCAGGCAGGGTCAGAGAAGGGGCAGAAGCTTCACCTAGCAGGAAGTGCTGAGGGAGATCAGAAAGGGAAAGAGGCAGAGGTCGGCAGCCACTTGAACAGCAGTGAGCTGGGGCGGGGGTGTGTATGGGGCTCATAAAGTGGTAGAACAGCATCAGAGAAGCAGGCGGCAGTGGCACACAGTGAGAGAGGTGGTTGGGAAAAGCTGGAGATATGGAGAGCCAGGGACCAAGCCTCAGAGATCCACGGTGGGCCTTACCCAGCCTCTCAGGTGGCAGCAGCTTCTCAGGCCCCAGCTCTGCACTCAGCATGGCCTGGGCCCGGCTCAGTGCCTGGCGGATGCTTTGCAGCTCTTGGGGTTCATGGCCAGCCCGCACCTGGGTCAGGAGGTCCTGTACCAGCTGGCCCACAACAGTGTGTCTGTCTTGCACCAGTGCTGCAGCTGCACGGACCACCTGCCGCTCAGGAGCCAACAAGGAGCAGAAGGCAGCACTCATGGATCTAAGCAGAGGCTGCCTACGCCACCGGCGGCCCAGGCTGGGGGAGACGGAAGGGCTGCCCTGGGACACTGGTGGCCCCTCCTCCTCGGAGCTGCTAGGGGAGCCACATTCTACCTCCTGGAGGGAGGGCAGGGGTGGGAGGCTAGGGCTGGTGCCCCCTGGCACACGGTACCCCACTGAGCTCTCCCTCCGCAGCAGCTGATGAGGGGGAAGCTGCTCTGGGTGGCTGGGGGATGCCCCTGGCAGCACAGGGACTGGGGGAGGTGGCACAGCAGGTGGAGACAGGGGGCTGGAGGTCTCTGTGGACACACGGACTTTGAAGCTCCTCTTGAATTTCTCACGCTTGGTGGGGCCAAGATCCCCTGGGAACAGGGGATTGAAGAAGCAGAGAGCAGCGCCAGTACCCTGGTCCAGCTCGTGAGGGGAACGGGCCTTCAGCCGGGGTGGCGGTGGGCCTTCGGATAGGCCCTGCTGAGCCTTGGTGTTGAGGGAGGAACTCCAGAACTCTAGGGTCCAGAAAGCATGAGGCCTCAAGATGGGCTCAGGAGAAGGCCCCTCAAAGAAAGGCATGGTACCCTCCCCTTTCCTGGGTCTCAGCTTCTCCGTGCGATAGGGTGGTAGGGGACCCTTACCAATGCCCAGATGGGAGATGGCCTCCAGCTGCTTGTGGGTGGCTGCCTGTTGGATGGCTGTGGGGAGTCGGAGTGGGAGGAGAAGGATGTCCCTGAGCCAGAGAAGGAAGTAGACAGGAGTGAGGGAAGCTCAGGTTAGGAGGTAGAAGGGTCCAGACGACCCAGGGAGGGTAGAAGACATGAGGTACCCTATGGGCAGTCTCACCGGGTGTGACAGTAGGCGCAGATGAGCTGGACTAGGTCTGAGAACATAAGCTCAGAGCCCTCCAAAGAGACACCTGAGAGACATCGGGAGTAAGGTCATTCTCTGCCTTCCCTCTCACCCCCTCATTTCTAGCCCTTCCAGTCAGGCTGGCCCCTCTCACCACCAGGACTCTCCTGGATGTAGTGGCTGGAGACGAAGGAGGGGCCACTGGCCTCTGGCAGCCGCACACACAGGGCCTGGCACTGGCGGGTGTTAGATTTCCGCACCAGGAATGTCTGCAAGTGGCCGAGGTCAGGAGGCTCCAGGCCTGTCTTGCCCCTCTCCCTCCCACCCTCAGCGGTCCAGTCCCCAGGAGTTGGCACAAGACTCACCCCTGGAGGCTCAGTCCTCAGCATGTGCAGGGCTGCTGCAGCATTGGCCCGGAGCTGCAGCCACACGGGCCGGGTAAGCAGCAGGCGCTCTCGAAGGCTCACGGTGCGTGTGGGCCACTGGGGCCCACCTGCCTGATCCCCACTGGCACCAGGTATGTCATACAGTGGGTCCTGGGGCAGCCTGGGGGTGGGTGCCCAGAACTGAGCAGGAGCCAGGGGCAGAGACCCCGTGCTCAACCCCTTCCCTGCTTCTGGATCCCCACCTCCTCTGCCCCGATAAACTTCCCTCGTAGTTCCTTCCCTCCCCACCTGGCTGCCCTTCCAACCTCACTGACTTTTCTCTCTTCAAGTGTCCAGGGGCAAGGCTTGGGCTGGGGGTTCTGGAATGGTGTGCTTCTGGCTCCCCAGGTTCTTCCATGGCTAGAAGCTCCTTTGTGGTTCTCCTTTCTCTGTTCTAGTTAGGCTTCTCCCAGGACTCAGGAAGAGAATTCAGCCCCCAGGCACAGGCGCACATTCCCAGCGGTGAGTAACACTTCCTGAGGGCGGTACGCCTTGTCACACCCCATCAGTTAACTCTTCTATGTCCACTCCGCCTGGCCAGTGCCCAAATTCTCTGTTCTGGGCCCAGCCTGGAGGGTCCAGGATCACTTCCACACTAGCGCTAGGCTGGAAGCCCCAGCTGCTGGGTGTCACCTCCACACAGGTCCTCCAGAGGCCTAGGCAGCCTCCTCCCACCTTGCAGCTGGGGGGTCGGAGGGGTTAAGCAGGCCGATTATATCCCAGAAGGCCAGGCCACACCCTTGGGTCACCTTAAATCTGGTCTCTTTGCCTTGAGGGTCAGCCTTGCAGGAGAGCACCCCCTACCGGCCACAGATGACTCATTCTTGAACCCAACTTGAGTTTCAGGATTTCAGGTTGCCATGGAGAAAGGATGCTGTGTCTCCATGGAAACCAACCCCTTTGCTTAACTGAGGTTCTGGGGGTGGTTCTGACACAGAGCTAACCAGGGGGAGTGTGGTGGTGAGGTCTTCAGCACATGGTGCTGCAGCTGGCTGCCGCCCACGCACAGGCCCTGCCAGCCTGCTTGCCTATCTGCCTGCCAAGCAACTGGGGCAGGTGCAGACTTGACCCAGTCTCTAAGCACGTGCACCAGCCCCTTCCCCACCCGAAGCCACGTGCTCCATGTGTGTGCTCTGCCTGCACATGTGGCTTCCAACTCCAGGCCTAGCTCCTGCCTTCTTATCCTATACCCCAAGTCTGAGTGCCTGCAGAAGAGTCTGCCTGGCTCAGGCACTAACCACAGAAGCCGATTCCTTTGCTGGGTAAATCAGACACATTTTGGTCATGCCAGCGTTCCAGAAAAGGTTTTAATTCCAGTTCTTGAAATCTGGGAGGCAGACACCACAAATGGCCCTGATAAGAGCTGGGAGCCTGCCTGTCACCTCCAGCTCCAGCCAGGGCAGACAGGCCCTCAACATACATTTCTGATTCAGAGTTCTGATTCCTGTGATGTAGGGCCCAGCTCCTGGTTTAGTGGCTGGGGTCCCCATGCCTGAGGTCACCAGGAGGAATGTTGCTCGCTTTGGCTTAGAACAAGTTCTGTCTCCTTTGTCACAGACACTGAGGGGTGGGTTGGTTAAGGGACAGACAGCAGTCTTGAGAGGCCAGGTCAGCTCCAAAGCCACAGCTGAGCAAGCCGAGGAGTCCAGACCAGTTACGGCTGGAGGGGCGCCTGCAGCAGCACTGGAGAGTCCGGAGGGCTGCCCCTGGGGCATGCCAGTGGGCCTTGCTACAGGAAAATTCGAGTCCTGGGTGTGGTGCCAGCTGTCCCAAGGGACCCCCTGGCTGGTCACAGTCCTGGGGGGGTATGCGGAAAAATCATTGAGAGGAAGTTAAACCAAGAGGGAAGCAGCCACTTCCTAAAGGGGACCCAGGAAGTACCTCGCTCTGGCAGCCCTTGTTCCTGGGGCTCAGCATTGCAGCTGGCCTGGACCCATCCTGGCTCTGAACTCCCATTTCACCTCTACATCATCTAACTCCATCAGCTCAGAGCTTCCCCCTCCCAACTACTGCTCCCCAAACTCCCACAAACCCCTCAGAACTAAGTCAAGCCACCGATCATGTCATGGCCTCTCTCTGGGCTCCTTCCCTGGCGGCCAGATGGGGGATGGTAATGGCAAGGGGAAGGGGAGCAGGAGGCCTCGTGGTTCTTACCATCCGCTTTTCTCTTCTGAGGGGACATTGCCGCCCTGGCCTGCATAGGGAGAAGAAATGCCTCCCTGTGAGAGCCCACCTCAGACTTGGCAATCCCTATTCCCTGCTGCCTCTGAGAGGTGGGAGATGCAGGAGTAGGCAGTGAACTGAGCCATTGGAGCAGGAGACCCTTTCAAGGCAAAGCTCCAGGGTGCTTCTTTTCAGAGGCTCAGCTAGCCCTGTTATCTTCCCCTCTTCTTCCATCAAACCTGTCCTTAAACAAGGGGCTAATGTGACACACACTCCTTGCTCCAGCAGAAGGACCATGCACTGCTGCAATGCCGGGGTGCCTGGGCTGAGGCAGGGAACTCCTCAGGCCCTCGGACACCAGAGTTGGTGACTAGGTTGGCAGCAGGAGCAATAGTAGACCCACCTTTTTGATAGCTGTCCAGTCCTCCAGGATGTCGATCTCCTGCAGCATGTACACGATGTAAGGGCCTGTGACAGGGGTCAAGGAAGCAGGACAGCCACTGGAGGACAGCTACTTGGGGCAGGTAACAGGTGCTCAGCCTGGAGGCCAAGGAGACACTCTGGAGAAGTGGCTCAGAGAGAGGGTGCTGAGAGACTGAGTCCAGGCACAAGTTCCACCTTCTACCTCGGGGCCTTCAGGTACTCAGGAGGGATCTCACCCTATTTCAAGGAGCCCACAGAGGGCACCAATTCCCTTCTCACTTTCCCTAGAACCCTCAGGGTCCTATTCTGTTTGGCCCTGTCACTAACTGGCCCCTTGTTGGATCGCCTCTTTCACTCTGAAACCCACCCTCCCGGACTCCCACCTGAGGTCTCAATACCCTCACCCTACTGCTCCTTCAGTCACTGCCTCTCAGGTCTCTCCCTCCTGGCCTCCATCAGCTCATCTCTGTGCTACACTCAAGGAGGGCTGAACACACAGGAGGCCAGACTGAGGGATTCCTCCTGCGGTGGGACAGAGCAAGGGCCTTCTGGAATGTGGGCACAGAGAAGCCACAGGCATTGGGGGAAGACAGATAAGGCAGCCTTTGAACTGAACAGGTAGGGACAGGCAGGAGCACTAAGAGGAGAGAGATGAGAGAGAGAGAGAGAGAGAGAGAGAGAGAGAGAGAGAGGAGAGAGAGAGAGAGAGAGAGAGGGAGAAAGAAGTCTGAGGCTTCCTGGAGCTGAGAATGGGAATTTGGAGGAAAAGCTAGGGGATGCTCAAAGATTGATCCCCACTTGGGAAGTCATCAGGCTGAACTTTCTATTCTCCTAGGATTCATATAGTCTGGGAGGACCAAGGACCCCACAAAACGTTCCTGACAGCAGAGAGGAGAGAGAGAGAGAGAGAGAGAGGGAGAAAGAAGTCTGAGGCTTCCTGGAGCTGAGAATGGGAATTTGGAGGAAAAGCTAGGGGATGCTCAAAGATTGATCCCCACTTGGGAAGTCATCAGGCTGAACTTTCTATTCTCCTAGGATTCATATAGTCTGGGAGGACCAAGGACCCCACAAAACGTTCCTGACAGCAGGACTGGCTGGGACATACTCGTGTAACACCAAACAGCCATAAATATGTGTTGCCCCACTCTGTCCTTCACATCCCTCTGAGTCTGCAGCCTGCCCTGACATTCTGCCCAGTGTCATGCCACCCTGGGTGGAAGGATACCAGAAACGAGAGGTGCCTTCTTCCTCTTGCTCGGTGGCAGCGAGTCCCAGGTCCTGGAGCTGCCTCTGGCATGCAGTTTGTCATCCCACCACTCTGTGCCCCAAGACCCACAGTCAGGATCAGGGCACTACACACAGGTTGTCCCTTCCTTTGTAGCCTCTGCCCATCACCTGGGCCACCCGGTCCCTCTCCTCCCTCATCACCACTCAGGCCAGTGTTCTGGCTCAACCCTGGGCTTGGGGCTGGATGCCCCTTAGGACTGCCTGGGTCCTGGCCTAACAGCAGTCCTAGCCCAGGGAGGAGGCTATCAGCCTCCTGTGAGCTTTGGTTTCTCCTTTTATTTAGGAGACAGTGAGACAGAATCAACTCCTGCCTCCCCAAGACCCCATATGAACACAGGTGCTGTGTGTGGGTATGTCAGATGGAGACACCCCTTCAGGAAAGGTGACCCTGCTGTGTGCCAGATCCTGGATGAGGCCCTTTCCAGGCCTCACTCAGTCCTCACAGGGACTCCAGGAAGCAGAGGCCCAGAGAGGGGTGGGTGCTGGCAGAGCTGGGCTCTTGCCCTCACCAGAGCTGATGTCCAGGCTCTGGCGATCCTCCTCCAGCCTCTGGATCCGCTCCTGCAGCTCCCCCTGTAGCGTGTCATAGAGCAGCAGCTTCTCACTCTGGAAGAGGTGAAGCTGCTTAGCTAGGCACGGGCTGGGCCCTCAGCCTCACCCAACCCCTGCACAGGCTTCCAGGTGCTCAGCTCACCTCCAGGTGCTGCTTGGCTCCTTGCAGCTCACACTCATACTTATTCCTAATCACATCTAGACAGAAGCCCTTGTAGATTCCTGCACAGACAGGGAGAGGTGCCCTGCTTAGCTGGGGGCCTGGTGCCCAAAAGGGTGAGTGAGACAAGCAAGACAGGGCAAGACTGGGCAGGGGAAAAAAGTAGGAGCTAGAGCTTTGCATCCTGGAAGGGTAAGAGGGACAGGACAGCCACGAACCTGCCACCTGAATACGAATCTTGAGGCTCCGCTGCAGTCCCCCAAGAGGCTCTGTGTACTCCGGGGCTCTCTCAGCCCCCACTTCCTCCAGCCGCAAGCGCAGCTGACTCAGCCGCTCCCTGAACAACCTGGGAGGTAAATGGCAGCCAGGCAACCCTGGATCCCCCACAGCTCTTGGCAAACATTGCCATGAGGGGGTCAGGGGTTTAGCTCAGTGGCACCACAACTGCCTTGCAAGTGCAAGGTCCTGAGTTCAATCCCCGGTACAAAAAAGAAAAAACAAAAACATATGCCATTTTAAGGATAAAAACCCCGAGATTGGTGCGCATCGCCCTGGACATCAGTACCAGGCCTGCTGCCTCCCCACCCCAGCTGCCCGAAGACCCGGCCTGAGGTATCCCCGTGCTCACTTCTCCTTCAGCTCCGAGAACTGCTTCTCCAAGTCTAGCATTTCATTGACACACTCACTGCGGCGCCGCTCATAGTCCTCATCGTCCATCTCTGGGAAGAGAGCCTGGTTAGGGCTGGCTCTGCAGCAATGGGTGGCTATTCCTGTGTGCGTGTGTCTTGGGCTCACCTGAGCTCTCCTCTTCTGACTCGGTCTGGCTGCCGCTCCGTTCCTCCTCACTCTCTTCCTCTTCCCCGTTCATCTCAGCAGCTGAATCGCCCTCTGCTTCCATCTCTTCTGTATCTTTGCTTGGAGGTTGGACGGGCATTTGGGCTCTGGGGGAGGGGGTGCAGCTGTCGCTCACCTCTGCCCAGACTCAGAGCAGGACAGCAGCCAGTCAGGGAGTCAAATGGAACCTGGCCCTCAACAGGGTGTGTGTGGGGAGGGAGTGTGTGGGGAGTTAACTGGCCTTGTACCAGTAGCACTTGCACCTGTCATGGAAGCCCAGGTACCATGGAAATGCTCATCCTCCGGATGTTGCTGGTGATCCTAATTCTGGGAATACTGGCTGAAGGTATGATCCACTGACTGGGAGGGCCATGTGTGGTAATGGAACTGGACCTAAACTTCTGACTGGGGCTTTCAAGGCCCTTCACAGACTAGACTCTTTTACCTCATCTAATAGCCAGCTTTCCTACTTCCATCACCCTTCCTATGCCCGTGTGGTTTTTTGAACTACAATGCCCCATCTCTTTTGGACAACACTCTATAATCCTCTTACCTGGGCTCTGGGACCCCAGGACCTCAGTGTTCCCCCTAATCTGTCTTCTGATTCTCCCTCTGGGCAGGCACTATAGTTTGAACGTGTCCTCAAGTCCATGTGTTGAAAACTTAATCCCCAATACAAGTATTAAGAGATGTGGCCTTTGAAAGGTGCCTAGGTCTGCCCTCATGAATGGACTAACGCCACTGTTACAAGAGTGGGTTAGTATGGCAGTGGGTTCCCGATAGGAGTCTGGCCTTGTCCCTTCTCCCTCTTACCCTGTCACCTGCTGCCATGGAATAAAGCAGCAAGAAGGCCCTTAAAGACATTTGGGCTCCTAAGCTCTAGACTTCCTACAGTCCAGAACACTTAAAGAAACTTCTGTTCTTTATATAAAGTATGACGTAGTCTTTGTATGTGTGTGTGTTGTTGTTAACTGAACCCAGGACCTCACACATGCTAAACATAAGTTCTATCATTGAGCTACTCTCCCAGCCCTCAGCTATTGTTTTCAGTTTTGGCTTCTTGAGACAGGGTCTTGCTATGTAGTTCAACCTGGCCCTGAACCATGTAGCCCAGGCTGGCTTTGAACTTACAGTGATCCTCCTGCCTCAGAATCTTGCAGGCTAGGATTACAGGTGTGCAACACCACACCCACTTCTCAGATATTATAGTAACATGAAATGGCCTAAGACAGCAGGCTCCATCCTAGGAGACTTTAGATGTACTCGGGTATGCACCATCATTAAGAAAAAGACCTGGGTTCAATCCATCTTCAGCACTACCAAAAAAAAAAAAAAAAAAAAAAAAAAAAAAAAAAAAAAAAAAAAAAAAAAAAAAAAAAAAAAAAAAAAAAAAAAAAAAAAAAAGGGCATAAACACTAAACTTCACGCATTCCACTTGATCATTCCGTTTTCCACTTCACAGCTACTTTTCCAGGCCTTTTATACACTTGCTGCTCCTTCTTTTACCAGCCACTCTTTGGATGTAGTTCTGTACCACTTGATTTTACTGAAACTAATCCTACAATCAAGGACTTCCTTGTGGCTAATGTCACACTGAGCTATATTTCCAGGCTTTACAGAAACTTTTTTATTTGGAGACAGTCTCACTAAGTTGCTACATCAGTTAGGCGGGGCTTGAACTTGCAATCTTCCTGTTTCAGTGTCCCAGAGCGCTGGGATTACAAGTATGCACTGTTACGCCTGGCTTCAGTATTTATCTTAAATGGCTTTTCAGCAACACTGAGCACTTCTAAGCATTCTTTTATTCATTCATCTAACAGTTATCAAGCACTTAATATATGCTAGGTACCATCAGCTACAGTTGTGCTACAACTGTAAGACTTTGACCTCAGAGAACGCACACATTCCTGGGTGGGGAGGCACAGAAACAGTATGGTACAAGGAGAATTAAATCAGAGGTATATAGGAGGGCTTCTAACCAGGGACCGGGCTGCAGCAGAGAGGGCTTCCAGAGGAGTATGGACCCGATGGGAGCACTGAGTTTACTGAAGGAGGAAACATTCTTGGCAGAGTGAGCAGCAAATGTAAAGACCCAGAAATGAGAGAAGAGGATAGGGGGGCACAAGGGTCTGACACTCAACAAGACCTGGGCTGCAGGTCAGTCATCAACACATAGCAAATTCTCCAAGCCATCAGATGGTGTGGCAAGCAAGTGAGAATGCGTAGAGCAAGAAGGGATCTCAGAACTCCTAGAGTCACCAAAGGAGCAGATTAGGAAACCTCTACAAAGGAGGAAAAGCCCAGTCACAGAGAAGAGAATTTCAGAAGGAAGTAATGACAGTGCCACAGGCTACCAAGGGATCACTCGAGAGGAAAACTAAATAGTTCTCTTTGTAAATCATTTCTCTGCCATCTGGGGACTATTTCACTGCCCCCCACCCCTTAGGGTTGAGACAGGGTCTCATTATAGCTCAGGCTGGATTTGAACTATGTAGGCCAGGCTGGCCTTGAATTCAGTGATCCTCCTGCCTCACCCTCCTGGGTTCTTCCAACTTCTCTGGCTACTGCTTTACAGGCCTTTAGGACGGTGTGGACATCACTCACTCCAGGAAGCCCTGTTTGCATATCCTTTTGTCCATTTTCACACTGCTGGGTTTTTTTGTTTTGTTTTTGTTTTTTGAGACAGGGTCTCACTACGTAGTTCAGACTGCTCTGGAACTCAATATGAAGTCCAGGCTGGTCTCAAACTTGCAGTGATCCTCCTGCCTCAGCCTCCCCAGTGCTGGGATTATTACAGGCATGTGCCACCACGCTCAGCTTCTATTGTCCATTTTCATGTCTGTCCTACCAATGTGTTGCAGCCTTACTAGGGTAGGTACTGTTAATGCAGTAGTGATGACTGAAGATTAGCAGATAAAAATTACACAAAACAAACTTGCAGTACAGGGATTGGCTTTTACCTCTTGGTAGACCCAGGCTCCTGTAATGGTGACCAACACTCCTCGATACCCATTCAAGTAGTGTGCTGTGTCTGACCTATGGAGTTTGGTCATATTTTGGAACGACTTCACTAATGATCTGAACCTGACCTGAAAACCAGCCTCATCGTTCCCATTCTATGTCTGTTCCGGCTACTGGAACTACTTCCTCACTGCTAAGTGTATACACCTTGTAAGACACAGTGTTAAATCCTATCTCTTGCAGAAAGTCTCTCTCGTGCAGGTGACTCTGATTCTGGCTCTTTAACTAGTCACAAGCTCTGCTCCTTAAGCTGGGTGAAAAAACGGGATAACCCTTCCCGATCCAGGGTTGAAAAGATTGCACACTGTAAGGATGGAAAAATCACACTGTAAGTGATGTGCACATGCAATTTATCTTTCTAGACAGTAAACTCCTCGACGCCAGGCTCCAACGGAAGGCAGACTCCTCCCCACAACCACAGAAGCCAACTTAGATTCTCCGAGGCTCTCCGGGAGCCTCCCACCTCGCTCCACCCTCAGATGTGCGGGCTAGAGAACAGAAGGCTGTTACGCTGTCTGCCGCGGCCCGGCTGCCTCACTGCCCAGCGCTCGTCACGCCGGGTTAAGTCTCATCTCTGGCTCGGGAGGAGATTGTGTTGGCTCCAACCGGCTGACCGGTTGGCAAAACCAGATAGCAGGCGTGGGGATACGCACCTTGGGATCTGGGGCCTGAGGCCTCACAGACTCACTTCCAACTCCCTGAGAGATACCTGCGTCCGCCGGTATTGGCTGCCGCTAGCAGGCTCCCGGAAGCTCCGTGCAGGTCCCTTTTCTCTCCGCAAGGCGGGGCCTACTGGCACTTCCGTGTGCATCATCGAGAGGCGCCGATCAAGAAAGCTCGCCATTGGCTAACTAGGGAAGAGGCATGCTGGGATACCGCGGGTCGGTCTCCATAGCAACCGGCCGACTTTCACACAGGTCTTTGGCTAGCGGGGAAGGCCGGGGTGATTTCTCTGGTTGCTGCAGGCGCCCCTTGGTCTGTGGCCAACTCCCCACAGCGTGAAAGGGGAAAACCCAGGGCCCCAGCTCAGGAGCGTAACGGAACCAGCTGTGGATGTGAACACTTGTTTATTTACACATTGTAATTCGAAGGCAAATAACCAGCCCAGCCCAACGGAGGGTACAGATCTCAGATTGTCCCTCATAGAACCTGCAGACCTATCCCTCCTCCCACGCGCCCGAGGGCAAAAGCCTGGAAGAACCACGAAGTTTATGTTTCAGTCCAAGAGTTAAGAATTAAATTCCATGCTTTCATCTTGATTTCTTTCCAAAATGCCCATTTCATTAAGTACTCAGACTCTCAGCTCTGTCCCATTCATACATTTTGCTCTCTTATTACCCATTCACCCAAGATTGTTAATAACAATAATAACAATAATACTGTAATAATATTAATACTTCACACTTGTACGAAGCTTACAGAATGTTTTTACATACTACAGCTCATCTGAGCCTCCCAAAAGTTCTGTGAGGTAGGCATTCTTACCTCCCTTTTTACAGACAGGGCAACTGAGGCTCAGAGAGGTAATGGGATTTGCTCAAGGCCACACAGCTAGTTAGTGGTAAAGCTAGGATTTGCTCCCAGCACCCCATATTCAAGTCCAGTGTTCCAACTCCACAGCTACCTCTGTAAAGTGGAGTAACATTTCTTACCCCAGTCAGGCCTGAGGTGTGGCCTGAGGAGCCAGAGGCTGAGACTTCTCAGACTAGGGAAGGGAAGGAATTAGCAGCGTCGGGGAGAGTTGGGATACTTGGCCTTCAACTCCTGTTTGAACTGTCGGTAAAGGATCTTATTGTGTTGATTTTCAGCCTCCTTTTGGGGATGGAACTTCAAGGCTTCTTTGAAGCCCTTATGAACCAGGAAACCTTCATTCAGCACCTCAAAGTCAAACCCTGCCACGTGCAGTTCACAGGCCTGTAGAGGAAGAGAAAGGTCAGCAAAATTTGATGACATTGCAGGACCCAAACAGGCATCTCTAAGCTTCCACACTTGTCTGGAGGCATCTTGGGACTTCCACCCAACCACTTCGCAAACTATGATCTCTCCTGCTTCATTGCCTCTTTTCATAATCCCATCCCTGATCCCACCTCCCTGCCCACTTCCCCTGCCCTTTCCCTTTTAGGCACCTGGCTGATGCGATTGAAGCCATATTGCCGAAAGCGCTCATCAAAGGCAGGAACCTTGCCTCCAGCTACATAGAAAGGCTCCCAGGGATCCTGCCAAGGCACCACATAGGCAGGCCTCAGCAAGCTTTCTTCTGGCAGGTTGACCCAGCGAGAATAGTTGGTAGGTGCATGGCAGGGTGTGCAGAGACCATAATAGAAGGGCCGCACCTCCCCCACTTGATAGAGCTGCAGTAGCTCTGCCTTATTCGTGGGCATTCGGCGGGCACGGCGGATCTCGAAAGCTGGCACCACTAGGGCTGTTCCCCCCCACTGGTTGCTCTGATCCAGCATTTCCCGCAGGCCTCTCCACAGCCCCTCGCTGGGCACCATGTCCATGTCGATCACCAGGGCATAGTTGGCTCCCTCGCGAGCCAGATTCCTCAATAAGTTGTTGGGGTAAGAGACGTTGGTGCCCAGGGCATAATTGATCCCGGGCTGGGCCACCCTGGCTAGTTTGTCAAAGACCTGTTGGCAGGAGCGCAGCAGGGCAAACTCTCCTGGCTCCCGGGGGTCGGGCACTGCAGCCTCATAACGCGAGGGGCACACAAGGTGCATCGCGACTCGAGCGCGCATGTCGGGGCAGTGGCTGCTCAGAGCGTAGGCCAGCACCGTGGCCAGCTGCGCCTCTTCCTTGGTGGCTGCAAAAACTGATACGGACAGCGGGCCCTCCCAGCGCTCCAACAGGCCCGATAGGTGCAGCAGGTTGTCCACGCTGGCATGCGTGGCCAGGATCACATCGCTGGGGTCCATGGTGGTCTTCAGGAGGCCCCGATAGACGCGGTAATCGCCGCTGGAGTCCAGGACTCCTCCGGAGGCCAGCGCGGTGCGGAGCTGCGCCTTAACTTGGTCCACGGATCGCGGGGACGGCGGGAAGAACTCAAAATATTGGTCCTGCTCCTCCTGCCCATGCAGTCCGGACAGCAGCGACAGGTAGAGCAGCTGAAGCATCGCCACGAGCATAAGCGCGGCCAACAGCAGCTGGTAGAAGGCGCATCGGATGGCGTAGGACATCTGCATGGTTCCCAGGGCTCGGGGTGCACAGCAGGGATCACCGGGCTGCGCAGCAGGGAACACCGGGCCTCGCGTCTACCGGCGACCCCAAGCCCAGATTTACCGCAGCCTGCCGAGAGCGCCCGAGGCTCCCCGAAGTGAACCGAGCCCGGCGCGCAGCCCCGCCCACTGTCGTCCGGCGGGGTCCCTGCAAGCTCAAGCTCGCCCTCTGTGAGAGAGGAGGAGCTACTGCACCCGCCGCGCGCTTTGCAAAAGCCGAGCCTGCCTGCGGTCCCGCGGCCCCGCCGCCACTGCCACTGCCTCTGTGCCCTCGTGCCCTGGGATATGCGCCCCTTCCTCGCTGTTAGTGTGTAACCCTCTGTATCAAGCGCGTCCTGCGACCGGTCCCTGCAAGCTCAAGCTCGCCCTCTGTGAGAGAGGAGGAGCTACTGCACCCGCCGCGCGCTTTGCAAAAGCCGAGCCTGCCTGCGGTCCCGCGGCCCCGCCGCCACTGCCACTGCCTCTGTGCCCTCGTGCCCTGGGATATGCGCCCCTTCCTCGCTGTTAGTGTGTAACCCTCTGTATCAAGCGCGTCCTGCGACCCTGGCGTGCACGCCAGGACTTGGAGGGGAAATTGTGGCAAAGCTTAGTCGGCTTAGTCGGCTGCAGTTTAGTGAAGGACGGCGCGGTTCCTGGCAGAAGCGCGCCGAAAGGAAACAAAATAGCTCCCTTCTTTGCACCATTTCTTCCTCTCTTGAGTCCTACCAGGCCGATAGTGAGAGGTAAGTGTCGGGACCCAAGAGGTTCGGAGATGATGAGAGATAAGGAAATGTGGAAAGGAGCAGCAGGTATAGGACGAGGTGGCCGAGTGGTTAAGGCGATGGACTGCTAATCCATTGTGCTTTGCACGCGTGGGTTCGAATCCCATCCTCGTCGGTCCTATTTTACAAAGGGAAAAGTTTCTTAGTTTTCCACATCCCACCCATCAAGATGCAGCGAGATGAAGAAAACTGAATTGGGCACAAGGGATTCTGTGTCCCAATCCTTGTCCTCTTCCCCATTTGTGCACCATGCAGTCTCCCTCGTGTTCATATTCTAGGTAACAGAATCTCCGGGCAGAAGCCAAGTGGGTGTGGTTTTCTTCTTACAAAAAGCAAGCAGTAGTCGGAGCATTTAGGACTGGCACTGGGATTCTTACTTGTGGCAAATCAGGGATCAATATGTCATCTGCAGAAAATAGAGAAACCCCCACTGGGAGCTTTGCCCTGCTTTAACAGTGTTCGATCATTTCAATTATTTTTGTATTTGGCCTACTGATTCCTCTCTCCAGCACCTCTTACAGGGTGGAGAACTCCTAACCACACTGGAACACACACTTAAGCAGGAACATTTCAACCCCAGCCACCATACACTGACTCATGGATTCTAGAAGTGACAGGCTGTGGGAAAGGGCAGGTACCACACTGCTTATTCAGTCATATTGGATGGTATCACATGCCATCTTTTTGGCCCAATCAGGGTGACCTACACAGCACAGCACAGCACTGTGTGTGTGTATCTTGACTGAAAAGGGGACAGGCTGTGAAGGGCTTCCTATGCCAGGAGAAGATGTCCACAGGGATCAGGGTGCCAAGGTTGTTGAGTGAAAGAACCATCAGAAGATTTATATTTTGTAGCTCAGTGCACTAACACCTACCTGCTCCCTGCCGAAGCCTGGTTAGGCACAGGGGCACTGAACACACAGGTACTGTCCTTGAAGGTTCTCATGGCGGACAGATGCCAGGAGAGAGGAGGAAGGAAAGTGCAGGTTCCTTTAGCACAGGCCTTATAAACAGGTGGCTCAGAAGCCCGGTTTGATGCCATGTAGGGTTGTTTTTATTTTTTTGCCTTGCTCAGTGTATAAAAATAATAATTTGAAGCTGGGCCAATAAACCCAACACTCTGGAAGGCTGAGGCAGGATGACTACAAGTTCAAGCCCAGCATGGGCAATTTAGCAATTTATGGAGACCCTGTCTAAACAAAGGGGTTGGGGGGCGGAGATTTAGCTTAGTGGATCTGGTGCCTGCCTCACAAGCTCAAGGACCCGAGTTCGATCCCTCGTACCAAAATAAACAAAGGGGAAGGGGTAGGGATTGGAGTGGGGCTGGGGATGTAGCTCGGTGCAAAAGCCCTGGGTTTAGTTCCCAACTCACACTAGTAATTTGGGTGAACCAGGAGATTTTATGTAAATTTTTTGTAAATTCCACCAATTTCCATTTTCAATTCTGAGATGTGGCAATGCCAGGCTTACATTCCCACAGGATGACAACTGGTCAGAGCACCAGAGTGTCTTCTTGCTGCCAGAGTCTTGTCTTTTCCAAAGTCTCAAATCACTCTTCCCTGGCTCTCCAACCTTTTGAGCATTTGAATTTCACACAATACCCAATCACTACTTCAATTGGTAAGATTTACCTGGTCATTTGTCCCTGCACTCCATGTTAGGTGCATAGCAGGCATTAGTAGGTGGTGGTTGAATGAATATTTAAGATTCTTGTGAACTCCATGGTGTCTAGTGTAAGGTGTGTGCTGCAAAGTAGTGACTAG